AAGAAAACCACCCACTCAAAACAGCCTGGCTCCTAAACACCCGCTTGTAAGCAGTGGCCAGCGGTGTCACGGGCAGCCAGTGACCACAACCGTGGGCCCCAGGACAGCACTACCTGGGCCAACACTAGCCGTGCCCGGGCACACAGGGCCGGCGCCAGGAGGGTCTGCAGGGGCGTGCGGCCCGCTCCTGGCGTGCAGGGGAGGAGAGAGCCGCCCCACAAGGGGACTGAGGGTGGGAGGCACCCAGGGGCCCAGCCAGTGCTGAGCATGGAGCGGCGGCAGCCGGGTGGCAGCATGGGTGTTCGAAAGCCGTCCTGGGGGGGCGGCAGAACAGGTCTGAGGCGCAGGACCCAAAAAACCCAGAAGGTGGCTGGCCCGGAAGCGCTGGGGTGGAGGCGCCTGGGAGTGGCTGGCCGGAGCTCCCGAAGGGCAGCGGCAAGGCCAGCTCGAACCTCTCAGCCTTGAGGCCCCACAGCCCCTGCACTGCCACGCGGACCCCAGGCAGGGCAGGTGGAGAAAGGAGGCGCCCGCGGGCCCCCGGCGCCCCGGCTGGGCTAGGGGTCCCTGCAGCTGTGGGCAGGGTTCTGCGGAGGCGGTGGGTGGGGCCGGGAGGGGCGGTGGCAGGCGAGCCCGGGAAGAGCCGGTGCCGAGGCTGGAACAGCGGTGCCTCCCAGGGCCAGGGCTAGGCAGTGTGGGGGCGGGGCAGAGCGCGCCGCAGACGCCCTGCAGAGGGCTCTGAAGACTAAGGGCTCCTCCTGGGCGCCCCGAGTGTGCGGATGCACCCTGAGAAGGGGCCACCCAGCACCCGGCTCCCACAGCATGGGGGGGACAGCCCCCCACCCTACAAGCGGGTGTGTGGGGACAGGGCTCCGGACCCTGAGGCCGGGCGCGGACAGGCAATTCACTCTGCAACTTCTCTGTAAGTGCAGGAGATATCAAAACAAAGGGGTGCTCCCTCCCCTTCCCCCCTAGCTGGCCCCCCTCAGGGCGGCCCACCCTCTCTTGGTCTGTCTGGGAGCGGGGAGGAAGCAGAGGTCTCTCCGGCACACCTGGGCAGGCAGAGCCAGGGTGGCCAGGCCAGGCCGCCTGCCCGGGAAACCGCCGAAAGTCTCCCCTCCCAAGACAGGACAGACTCACCGCTCCCCTGTCACTGCCCCCCTGGGCTGCCCCCACCAGGCTGCCAGACCCAGCTGGCCATCCCATGGTGGGACAGAGCGAGCGCCAAGCTGACTCCCCAGACCCGGGTGCGTGGGCGGGAGAGGAGAGGCAGGCCCCAGGCACACAAGGGCCAGGGCAAGGTCAGCACGCCTGTGCCCAGGGCCGGCCCACAGCATCGCAGCTGAGGAGGGAGGCAGGGCCTGGCCTGCCTGGGAAGGGCCGCAGATGCCGGGCTGTCCCGCACTCCCGCACTGCGCGGCAGGGATGTGGGGCGTCCTCTTGGCTCTGTGTAGACACAAGCCGGGGCTGCGCCCAGGCACCCCTCTGTGGCCCACCTGTCCTCCCCACTGCAGGCAGCCTTGGGCCCAGCAGTGCCAGCAGGCTGGGATAGCCAGGGAGCGCTGCCCCGTTCAGCAGGGCAGTCAGTGCCGTGTGCCTGGCCAGGGCAGGTCGGGGCACAGCCATCCCTCCCAGCAGGGGATGACTGTCTCCCTGCCACCTCTGGGGAAGCCCTGGTCTGCGGGATGGCATCTGGGGGAGGGGCTTGTGGGAGGGGGGCCAGACATGGCCACGGTGGGCCCCACAGCCCCGTCAGTGTATCTCCTCGCTCAGGGACGCTGCCGCTCGCCTACCCGCCAGCTCTCCACGAGGGGACATGGGCGGCGGGGCCGGGGCGCACGGAGAAGGGTGGGGGCACCCATCCTGGGCTGAATCCCTCTCTAATGAGCTGTCACTTTGCAGAAGCACTTCAGAGACTTCAAAATCGCAGCCTGAACCCGTCAGGCCGCGGAGAGCACGTGAGAGTCGCCGCACAGGCGTGCGAACGGGGCGGCGGCTGCCTGACAGCCCGTTTGTCGCTGCGGCCCCCGCACGCCGCCCCGGCCCGGCAGCTCCCGTCTGCTCCGCACCGTCAAGTCACGTGGGTTTGGAAGGTGAAAAAAAGTGACAGGCGGTTTAGGGACGTAAGTCTCGTTCGGCTTCAGTTCAGATTAATGGACTTGCGGGGAGCTGGCGAGGGGCAGGCGGCCCCACAAATCTTAGGAGGAGAAGCGGCTCCCGGCTCGGCTGCGCCTCCGCCCCGCGCGCTCTCAGGGCCGCTGCCGGGGAGCAGAGCTGGGAGCAGGCAGAGCCCCCACACACTGGGCACCCAGAGGCCAGGGCAGCAGAGCAGACAGGTTGTCCCAGGCGCCCCACCCCCCAGCTCCAGCCTCCATGCGCTCGCCTGGCCAGGAAGCAGCAGCCTCGTCCAGCCTGGGCTCTCAATTGGAGGGTCCTACCCTGAGACCCCAGCTGGCAGCACCCAAGGGATCCAGAGGCTGCTGCCCAGCATCCCCCACCTCCCGTCCGCATGACACAGATGTACGCCAACTGGCCAAGAACCAGACGGGCTCTGACCGGCCCCTCCAGGTGGGGTCAGGGCCCCGCCACTGCTGCGCCAGCACTATCTTCAACCCCTACCACAAGCAGGAAACACAGGGCAGGGGCCATGTTGTGTGCATGAGGAAAAGGGCACACAGCCTCCTGGGCACAGGCACCCCACGGCGCCCCCGGAGCCGGTTCACCTGCCTCAGCCCCTCCTGCATCCACCAGCCCTGCCCACCGAAACACCCTGGACTGCTGGGGTCTGCCCAGGCCACTCTGGGGTGTCCTCCCTCTGGGGCCCCTAAGGACAGCGCTTGAGCCGTGGGCTCAGGCTGGCTGCCTGCTGGAACAGGCCGGCTCTCACCACCATGGGCCCAGCCCACACTGGCCTGGCTCCACTGCCAGCTGCCTCTGTCCAGGAGAACATAAGTCCCGCAGGGCAGAAGTTGAGGTAATGGCCAAAGTCAGCCACGCCTAGCCTCCTGGGAGCCGGCCACTGCCCCGGCAGCCCCACTGCAGCAGAGGGCACAGGGCAGGAGAACCGGGGCAGACAGGCCACACCAGACAGGCCTCTCTGCAGCCCAGACCGGCACAGTCAGGTGTGAGGGGCTAACTGGGCTGGGCACCTGGCTGCAGCTGCTCTGCCAAGCAGGCAGCCCCACAGGTGACCTTGGTGAGGGAGGCCACATGGCCCAGGGTCTCCTGAGCTGACCAGTCCTCGGCGCCTCCCTCTACCCATCCCCAGGGGCCAGGCCCCATGCCTGGCACGCCCTGAGGAGGCGGGCGACACGGGATGGGTCTGAGCATGGCAGGCGGGGCAGGGCCAGCTCCAAGCTGGGCTCCCACCCCCTGCTGAGGCACGTGCGCGGGGTGCTTGCCTGGGTCTCCACACACGGGGGTGGCGGGGTGGCGGGGGCTCTGGGCCTGGAGATGCGGGCCCGGCCCTGTGCTGGGGCTTCTGGAAAGCTGGGCCCGCCACACCTGCGCAGGCTGTGGCAGCAGGCAGGGCCTCGACCCAGCGCCCACCCTCCACGGCTTCCCTCAGGGGCCACCGCCCGCACATTTGCCCAGGGGCCCTCACAGCTTGGTGGGGCGGGGGGGGGAGGGGGCGGCCGCCGCCCGGCCAGAGTCCTTAGCCCACTCGGGGAGCCCAGTCGGCACCCTCTGCATGCTGGGCTGGGAGGCGGTGGCTAGGGCCAAGGAGGGCTTGTGCCCAGCACCAGAGGGGGCGGGAGCAGAATCAATAAATCTCATTCACGATGATCAGGGGCTCTTATTAAGTAAATTAATTTAAGTTAATTTAGCTCGATCGTGACGCTGATCACAGTGATTTAGTGAGGTGGAATCACATTAAGAAGACCACGCTCGCCAGACGGCAGAGTGGAAGAAAACGAGGCCCACTTAGCACACAGACGGGCGTGGAGGAGCAGGTGTAGCTCTACCCGCATCCAGAAAGAGAGAATTATCTTCGTAAATTTGCAGAAATAGCCCCCAAGGCGCTTATAAATCTATCTAAAACAAAAATACCACAAAAAATGCAGTAAAGTTAACTTAAAATATACTTGCTGCTTTTGCCACCAGGAAAGTCAGGGGTAGGGCCCAGCCGGCTGCGGCCTCCCCCAGGGTACTGTGGTTCCGAGGGTGGGTGGAACAGGCCGCAGCTCTGCCTATGGCCCGGCCCGAGGCCAGGGCCCCGGAAGGCCCACGCTCTGCCTGGAAGCCCAGGCTGGACCAAGGGGCTCCACACTGCTCCCCGTGAGGTAGGCTGCCAGGGTGGACAGGAAGCCGGGGAGAAAGGGCTGCCCCCACTGGGGTCCCGCCCACCCACCAGGCTGCCGCTGTCCCCTCTGTGAAGGAAGAGCCCCCACTGCTGGGCCAAGCCCCCCGAGGCCCGAAAGCGGAGTCGCCTCACGAGAGCGGGGCCCCCACTTCTGTGCCCCAAACGCAGCCTCCTGGTCTCTGCAGCCTCTGCTTCCAGGCCCGGGACCACAGAAGAGAGCGTGAGCTCCCAGCCAGGGCACAGAGCGTGAGGCCCCAGCACTGGGGCGCAGGAGAGCGGGGAGGGGCCAGCTGCCCCTCCACCCTCAACAAGCGATGCACCATAGACAGTGAGGCAGACCTACGGGCCAGGGGCAGCCGCCGGCCACACCGAACCTCGCTCCCCACATGGCCCCATGGGCTGGTGCTCCCCCATTCGTGACGGCCCCTGCCAATGTGCGTGTCTGCGTGCATGCGAGGGCCCAATGTTTGTACATGTGTGGGCCTAGTGTGTGTGTCTGTGTGCACATGTGGGCCCAGTGTGTGTGTGCACGTGTGGGCTCGGGGTGCACATGCCTGTGTCTCTGCACACGCGTGTCTGTGGTGTCCACATGTGCCTCCGTGGCGCACAGGCTGCCAGACAGAAAGCCAGGTGTTTCCCGGCTGACAAACCATGGGCTGCCCACCTGCTGGGCGCGGGGCCTGGGCGCGCAGGCTCCTACCTGGACAGGGAGAGCCGCCGTGACCGCCAGGAGGGCACAGAGAGGGGGGCCAGGGGTGCGGGGAGAGGAGCTGCCGGAGTCTTCTTGACGATGCGGTAGCGGGTCTTGATCACTTTGCCAGTGGGCGGGGTCCGCGGGACATGCAGGCTGGAGGCTGTGGGGGGAAAACAGACACGAGTGGTCAGTGGAGGGCGGTGGGGCCTCCCCATCACACTGGCTGCGGCTCCGCCCCACATGTCCCACCTGGGCCCCAGGACAGCTGGCAGCAGGCCCTGGCCCACGAGGGGCTGCTGAGGACGCTGGCAGGGAGCAGAAGCCGAGCTCCCCGGGCCAGCTGTCCGGGGCAGCATCCAGGCGGGCACCCCCACCCCAGAGCACCAGGAACCCCTGACCCTGGGTGGGTGCTGCTCCCTAGGCTGCCGGGGGCAGCCAGGGGTTGCAGTTGGTGCAGGAGGCTTGCCTCGCAGCCCACACCCACATAGCCCACATGCTCATGCCGTCGCCAGCACTGTCATGACAGCTGGTGGGGGGCCGCGCACCCCGCACGCCTCCTCCCGGAGCATCTCACATGATTAACAGGGGTCTGTGTTGCCCCAATTCCCCTCCACGAGCTTCTCTGTAGCATCAAGGAACGCGTCTAACAGCCCGACTTTCATGAGCCACAGCTCTAGCCGCCCAGATGATTAAAGGCAGCCCAGCGCTGGCCGCACTGACCAGAGAACGGCCGTGAGGAAGCGCCCTCCTGGCCAGGGTCTGGGTCCCGACCCCGCCCTGAGAGGGTCCAGCCACAGGAAGGTCCGACCCCAGAGACCCCAGACCAAGAGCTGACTGCGACCCCCGTGGCCGCAGTGCCATGGGTTGGCCAGGGTGGGTGGGCGGCCTGGTGAAGATCTGGGCAGGCGCATGTCGGGAAGGACCGGCCCCCGGGCCCCCGGTGACACCGAAAAGCACTCCACGCACACCCGTCCCCAGGCGCGGGGCCTCCAGTCCACCAGCCCGCAGGGGCTGTCGCTGCCCACAGACAAGAGGGAAATCCTGTCAGCGCAAGTCATCTTCGGAGCCCTAAACCCCAGGAGCCTCGACCCTGCGGCCAGTTCCATCCTGAACAGGCCCCGCCGCTGTGTCCCAGCCCCCACCCCCGCCCCCCGACCGTGGACACCAGGGGCAGGCCGGCTCCCGCCCCGTCCGGGGGAAGGTGGGTGCTGAGGGCACACAGCCCCGCCACAGCCCCGGGAGGCCCCAGGCTTCCCCGACAGGTAGGCAGCAGCGCGGCCACGGGCTGCAGGGGCCCCCAGCAGGACAGAGAGAGCGAGGTGGACGGGCAAACGGACGGGCCCTGGGGGAGGGAGAGGGCCTGGCCCGGGCCGCCTCGGGCACAGGCTGAGGCCACAGGCCCCCTCTGGGCGGGCCGGCGGGGTTGCACATGCCCGTGTAACCCACACATGCGCCGGTGAACTCCCCTGGTCACGCCTCCCAGGGCCGTGATTTCCCTCCAGTGATGGATCCCCTTCGACACGTCTCACCGTGTCAAGCCCTCTGCGCCGTTCTGCCGGGGACGCCGGCGTTATCAGGCCCGCACACGGCCCTCTCCACCGCTCGCCAGGTCACGCCTGATGACGGATCGATCTCATTAGCTTTCCTAATTAAAAACTTTACTACCACGCTGGAGACGGCCCACGAAACTGCTGGCATCGCGTGTGCGGGATATGAGCCCATTCATCAGGGCCGCGCTGCTGCCCGGCCCGGCTCCCGGCAGTGGGCACCGCCCGGCCCCGGCCCCTCGGGGCCACATGCAACCAGGCCCGCGCAGCACTGCCGCCCCTGCCCCGCGGCACCTGCAGGGGGAGCAGAAGGCGGGCGGGAGCCCCTCAACCCTCGGCGAGGCAGAGCAGCACCAGGCTGCCCCTGCCCTCATGCAGGGCGGCCAGGCCGGCCAGAGGCAGGAGGTCAGGCGCTGGGCGCCAGCGGGGGACACACGGAGGGAGCGGATGGAGGAAGAGAGAAGACCCGCTACTCCCACAGCCGCGGGGCGTGGGGCAGAGTGCCTGGGGCCGCGGCCAGCACAGAGGCCGCCAGGAGGTGGGGACGCAGGCGCCGTCCCCGAGGGCCAGCGCCAGAGGGCCACCGCTGGGCGAGCCCACAGTGTCCTCAGGTGGCGCCAGAAACCAGCCGCGGAGCAGGAGGCTGAAGAGGCTGCAGGAAGACGCCTGTCCGCCGCGGGCTGCCCCGACACTGCTTCCCAGGCCTCTGGGGAAGGACCGAGCAGACAGGGCAGCCGAGCAGCGGCCACGGCGGGCGCCTGTGCTGGGAGCGGGCCCAGTCACGTCACGGACGGAGCGTCCATCGCCCTAGAAACCACGTCTCATTCCTGGGCAGGGGGAGCCGGTAGGGGCCGCACAGGCACCGCCTCGGGACGCCCCTCCCCAGGCTGAGGGTCAGGACCCGGCTTCCCCACAGACGGGCAGGGCCGTAGCAACGGGTACTGCCTGGCCAGCAGCCCCCACCCTGCCCTGCGCCATCCACACCCCGGATGGCACTTAGTCCGCGAGCCCCACCCCGTCCAGCCCCGCCGACACTGCTCCCCGGCCTCGAAGCCACGCTCCCCCACGGGGTCTGGTCTGGGCCACGAGCCACCCCGTCACTGACCCCTCCTCAGGTGGTCCACGGGCCCCATGGTCCCCGGGGCTGGAAGGTCACTTCTAGCTGCACCGCACGCCCGACGAAGCTGACCGCAGCGGAGGGACAGGGTCGCTGTGGCCTGTGTGGGCAGGAGGCAGGATGGGCGGAGGGGCCGGCAAGGCTGGGGGCGCGCAGGCCTGTGGACACCCTGCCACCCAGGCCCAGAGCTTCCAGCCCTGTGGCCCCCCAAGGTCCCCCTTCTGCGCCCTGCCCATCCTCCACCACCACTCAGCATGTGGCCTGGGGCCCGCGCGAGGGGACTTCCCGCCCGTGTGGGCTCTGGAGGCAGCGAGCTTTCAGACAGGCCCCCCCAGGCTCGGCACCCTCAAGCTCGACACCCCAGGGCAGGGGTCCTAGGCGAGGCTGCGGCTGGGCCAGCAGGGAGAGGTGCCTGGCGACAGAGGCGAGCCGGGCGGCACCCAGGGTAAGGGCACGCAGTGGCGAGCGGGGCCACCGTTCCAGATGCAGCCCGGAGGCCCACGCCTGCGTCTCCCGGGGTCAGAGGAGGGAGCCGGCACCCTGGCCCGGCCAGCAGCGAGGCAGGCGGAGGCTCTCGGGCCTTTGTGGCCAGGCCTGCGGGCGCCAGGTGTCCCGCGCTGGAGCCCGGCCTGCTGCCCGCCCAGCAGCCCCCCCATCCAGGACACATGAGGATCCGCCTGCTGTGCCCACTCGAGGGGCGCCGGCTCGTTTGGAGGGGTGGCTCGGCCCCCTGGCCCCTGTATTGCCCCACGATGCGCACTGCGGGGCAGCACTGCCGGCCAGCTGGCCCTTGCGCAGGTGGGAAGGCACCAGAGAAGGGAGGCGACCTGCCCACGACACAGGGGGTGGGTCGGGTGGGGGGGGCCGAGCCAGGACACGGCCAGGCAGGCGGGCCAGCAGGCCAGGGTCCCCCGCAGGCAGCCGCGGCAGAGGGCAGCTCCTTGCAGGCCCCCCACCCCGAGCCTGAACGAGCTGGCAGGCAGCAGACAGTGGGCCTGCAGGTGCCCAAAGCACGCCCAGCACAGCGGGGCCACGCATGCGGGGCCACCCCCAGGACAGCTCTCGGGGGTTGTCGTCCTATAACGGGGGGGGTCCCCAGGAAAAAGGGAGGTTGCAGGTTCCCCGCCCCACCCAAGGGAGGGTGGAGCTAAGGAGAGGAGAAGCAGCGGCAGGTGGGGCGGAGGGAGGAGCAGGAGGAAGCCGCGCTGGCCTTGTGGGGATGGGGTGACACGGGCCGGGGAGCCCCGCGGGGAGCTGACCATGGTGGTTTTTGTCTTGGCTTTGATTTTGCTCCTTTCCTCCCAGGCTTGTCTGCTTGTTTCTGACCCTCTTCTGTGGGTCCCCACGGGAAGGTGCTCTGGACTTGGGGCAGCTTTGGGGCCTCACTCTGGGGCTCGCCCGCTGGGTGGACTTTCACCCCCTCAGGCCGGGCGACCGCGGGGGCTGGGTTTGGCGACTACGGCCCCGCCTCTCCTGCGCTGCGCCCCGCTGCACGAAGGCTCCTCCTGCGAAGCCTCATGCGCGGCGCTGACAGGGACGGCAGGGCCCACTTAGAGCAGGCAGGTTTGTGGGGTCCCTCCCTGCCCTGTAACAGTCCCTGCCCGGGGGGGCTGCCAGCCTTGGGGCTCAGACCCCAGAGCACAAGATGGGGCGCGGCCGGCCAACAGAGACGTGAGGGCCACGCTGGGTGATGGGCGCGGTCAGCGCTCCTTCAGGACAGCAGGCGGCCCGGGCTCCCCACAACCCAGCCCCGCGGCTCCACCAGGAGAGGGGGCTCAGGTGGGTGGGGCCTGCCAGGGCTCCCAGCAGGGTGGGCCGGAGGGGCCCCCAGGCCTACTCCTTCCCCTGTTGGGGCGTCCCAGCACTGGCCCACCCCAGGCCTCGGGGAGCCCGACGCCCACGGGCTGCCCATGCCGGGCAGAGGGGAATCTGCCGCCTTCTCCCTCTCGAGGGCCCTGGCCAGAGCCGGTGCTCCCCGGGGGTCCCCAGGGCCTGCCAGCTCAAGCACCTGCTCCCACTGCCACTCACAGGCTCTGCGGGGGCCCTCGACTCCTGGCTACCCCAGGCTCAACAGGATCGCGGCCCTACTCGACACAGCTGCCCAGGCCTCACCCAGGGTGGGGGCGGGGGGAGCGCAGTTGCTGAGCCTCCCGGGTACTCACCCTTTTCGTCTTCCGCGGCAGTACTGTCGGGGGTCGGGGCACAGCCCCGCTGGGCACCCACAGCCCCCGGAGCAGCTGCGCCCCGAGTGGCGGACCTGAGGCCACCTGGCTCCCAAGCACCTGGGGGGCCAGTCCACGCGCTGTGGCCACAGAAAGAGCCCCCTGGACACCAACTGGGAGACACAGGGCCCATCAGGGAGGGAGGGCGGAGGGAGCAGCCGAACCAGCTGGCAGAAGGGGGGGGCCCCCCTCCGTCCCCCCGTGACACCCCAGGGGCAGCCCCAGGGCACAAACACCGACCTCCTCTTGTAGAAGACTGACTTCGTCTACACTG